TGAAGCTTTTATTTTCCGATACAACAGAACGCGCTAATGTCTTAATGTAACAGCGATTGAGATGTTCAATTTCTTATCCGTATTTCACACGGATACCTAAGCCTACTATAATCGATTATCTTCATATCCAAAAAAGAAATTTTTTAATTTCTGACTTAGAAATCTTTTTTTTTAACTTCATTCAAGTCGTTCTAAATCGTTTGACATAATTTTAACAAAATCCTGAACAGATTTTGAAAATTTAAAAACTGTTAAGATATACAGCTTTATAAAATTGTTTTAGATTATAAATCTATAGTAAAAATTTTGATTGTTGTGAATGGCATTGAATAATTTCTAGAAAAACCGAGAATTTTATTGTTTAAAAGGTCTAAAAAAACAGTTACCGTTATTTTAAAATTTACTGATAAATTTTCTAATCTAAATAGCTAAATCCGAATTATTATTGATTGAGTCTTATACATATCGTATAGTTTGTGTAACTTGCCCTAAAGCAAAATGCCACTTACATCTAGTTTAGTCGAAAAACACGCGAGTAAAACATTGTCGGTCAGTTATAAGTGTTCTATAATAAATGATTATGTACATTTTGCTATAAAATAAATCCCGCCGATACAAATGCATTTAATTTTAATTATGCTATGCATTTGGATCAAGTTTATGTGATTAAGCAATTCATGGATGGTTAATTCGAATAATTGGCGAACGATGAGAAGATCGATGCTTTGCGAATCTTTCATGGAATAATAATAGTTATAGAATTAGATAATACTATTGATTATCGGTTTAAGAAATTATTAGCTACTATTGGGCTGTTTTAACTTATCTTAATATCTGAATTTATATATTTTCACATACCGAAAAGTTCATGCAATTCACTTTCTAATATGTCTAATTTTCTAATGTGTTGTCTCATTTTTTAATTAGTATATGTTGGGGTCAAAACTAATAAGAAACGACAACAGCATATGTCTGATCAAGTATGAAATAATGAGTCTCGATTTCCAACGTTACTTTTCTAGCAGGTGTTATTATTACGGACGCACGAATGTCCTTATTATATTACCACTTCGCATTTTTAAAAGTTGGCGAAGAAAGTGCAACCGGTTTTTGTTATTTCGATTATTTGAAACAAGCGATTGGCGAATTATGAAGATTAAATAACAATAATCGACTATTTAATTGAAAGCTGCCAAGCTGCCGTATTTGTATTTGATTCATGTTCCAAAGAATAGTCAACTGTAACAACAAATATTAGGAATAATTAATAGACTTTTATGGCACGGTATGATAATGAAACTCTACGATATAATGCTACTAAAAATGCATAACTGAATCCCAATTGACCACACTCTAAAAATTACCAGTACATATGTAATTTTATTAATATGTAATCGAAAACAACGCTCATCAAGCACGCTAAAAAGTTAAGAATAGTCGTATTCAGTTAATGAAACAGACAGAAACTTCTTAGCATCGTATAATCTATAAAAAAGCTAATATTGACAAAATCGTGTGTGGTTATGAAAAACTAAATAAATAAGATCACTTTTTATGGTTTCGATCAGACGACTCGTGCCCGTCATGTGGCCAGCGAGGGGACTAGACTTTCTGAAGCCGATAACTATCTGAATTGTACCTTCGGCATTAAACTAGGTGTAAGTGTAAATAGTGTATAAGAATTAATCGGCAAGTATTAAATTTTAGGTGCTTAGAAAAAAAAATACGACTGTTTATTTCCAAAGTGAAGTTTTCGCTTTTCTTTAATCAATGCGATTATCAATTGATATCTTTGAAACAAATTAATAACTGTACTTGTCTTAATTTAATTTATCGCATATATAAATGTTTAGTAATAAAATAAACAATAAATTGTAAGTTTTTTACACTGGATTTGAGGATAATATGAAACGCGTGTAATTTTTACGACGATGTGATTTCTAAGTACGCAACCCATTTTTCCAAACTTTAATAATTTTGTATAATCAAAATACTTTTCGTAGACGATTTTCCAGGGACAGGGCCAAAAACGCGCCTTGAATGGGAAAGCGTATTATGCGTGATAGGGACAATATGTTTCAAAGTGTAGGAACTAACGTGAAGTCGTGTATTATGCTAAAATATTATGTATAATGTTCTTAACAAGGTTCGAATTGTAGTTTGTTTGCAATATGGGTATCCTACATATCGTATATCTACATTATTTTTAATAAAACTTAGAAAATTCTGCAATCTGCTGAATGGTCTTCAAATTATTTTTTACAGTACGTTTTTTCAAAGAGCGTATGGACTTTAGCTATTATTTTATCGAATGAATAATGTATCTAACGACCAAATTTGACTTGCACTTTTCTTCCTTTATTTTTTTTCGTTTGTTAATTTGAATTCCTCCGACTCGGACGTAATAATGAGTCCGACCGTTTAAAACTCCCTTTAAAAGGTGGAACAGGTGATTCCTCATGTGCGTGTAATTGAGTTGATACACGGGGGCCATTAACGGGACACAAGGCTTGGGATCGGGTCGTCGTTATTAAATTTAAAATTTAAAATTTAAAAGGAGGGCTGTTTCATCGTCATTCTTAAACATCGAGCTGGAGGGCCTTTGCAAGTCGAAAATGTAATAATGCCACAATTTGTCATATTATTGTCATATTATGAGTTTGTAAATGAGAACTATTTCATGGATGCACAAAGTGAGTCTATGATGTGATTACGATGTTTATTTCTATATTTCTATGATAATATTTTTAATGCGCATGCGACATTTTCGTTCACAAAAATCACTTTTTATTGCCATTCGAATCTGCATTGGAGAAGACACATATGATATACAAATTGAACATCCACATATGAAAATGAAGTCGGGTGTGTGTATGATACACGGTTGATTTTTGATTAAGCACGTATTTCTCACCTGATATTCTATATCGTATTGTATCGCACACATAAAATATAAAAACAAATAAATCAAACAACAAGAAGCTTAAAAGAGTGCAGAAGTCAAAATATTAGAAAGGCTTATTGATGTTGTTCCATTGGTAGTTTACTTGTAATTGCAAGTTCATTTGTCGAACTTTCTAATAATTACATGTTTAAAATAATACTAATTACATGATTATAAATAATACCTCTTTTAAACTATCAAGATCAACTTCTTTTGTACTAATTTGTACCACCAATAAAAAATTTGTACATTAAAAAAATGCGAGGTGTTGTTAGCTTTTTCATATCTTCTCGGTTTTAGAATATAAAAATTAAATAAAAGTAGAAATTACTAACATTAAAATTAAAATTAATCTGAACTTTTTTATCACTTTTTTAAAAAAAAACATAAAAAACGATTACATTTAATTGGATTAATATTAAAATTTGGGACGACGACTCGTTTCCTTGATAAAATACGAAGAAGATTAAAATTTAAATAAAAATAAACAAATAATCATATTTAGAAAACATCTTTTTTTAAATTGCAATTAATTGCAAAGAAGCGACCCGACAAATCTTTACCAAAAACGTCCCCCTTGATGTTTTCGGAACAATTATTGGATTTTCGAATCGAGGATTTTTGGCTAAAACTTAGATGATTTTTTCTTCACTTATCTACTAATTATAAAGAAAGGGCTGGGCCGGTCGTCGCAAAAAACTAATCAACGCGAGCCCTTATCAAGTTTCAACAGATAGCTATTAACTTTGAAATCTGCAGTTTTTGAGAAAACGCAGGCAAAACGTCAAATTTCGGCTCACATAGTTTAACCAACGGTGTTAAACGATTGAAAATGACTTGAAACGTCGAAAAAACATGGCAAATCCGTATTCAGTGGCAAATCATTAACCTTCCCTCGAGAGCTTAATAAATATTAGAAGTTTCATTCAAAATAATTTCATAAAAATTAAGTAGCGGCAAATTTATATATTTAAAAAATTTATATGTTGATCGTTCTACAAAATTTACGAGTATTTTTTTATTTTACGTATAAAAATTAACGATTATTAAAATTTAAACAACAAAACTGAATTTTTGAACCAATTATTAAAAATAATGGTATGTATAATTATCCAATTAATGCAGATATAGATAAATTACAAATTGTAGTAGAATATAAATATATTGTACGTAATAGTGTTTTACATTTATTCTGGTCAAGTGTGCATATATTTAAAGAAAAAAAACATAACTTCCCATTTCCCATGGCATTAAAAGAAAATAAGGAAAGTTTTCAAATTTAAGTAATGATGAAATATTTTTCTCAAACCACAGTATACCAAAAGTTCTGAAAAAAAGAGTTTGAAACATAGAAATTAAAATAGAAAAGTGTTATTTATTTTGTTCAATACATTTCATTATCACATTTAACACATCAGTCAAATAAAAAATGAAGCTGCATTTCTAATACTTATACTAAAAGGATATTATAAATTTAAAAAATTATAAAAACAAGTCTTAAGACACAGTTTAATAAATTTGAATCCCGCTGTATAACATTAGATAATATTGGTGATATATAAATCTTTATATTGTTTATAAATAATATACGAAGAAAACTATAAATACTTTAAATTCAAAATAATCTAATAATTTTAAATATTTCAGGGATGCCATATTGCTTCTTATTTTGATTTTTATGGCCGAATTAATAACGAAGGGATTAAAAAATGTAAACGAATATTAAAAAAAAAAACGTATTCAATTCGCGCCAAAATGGATATTTGATGTTGCATGATAAATAGTAATAATAAATTAAGAATTTTAATTTCGTATCTTCAAGAATATCTATCTTGTGTATTCGAAAAAGCTTCAACAATTATTATAGGCTTAAGTTTATTTTAAAATTCATCAAACTTTATGCTAAAATTAATATTATTACCTTACTTAATAACAAATTAAGGAATGTTTTGTTTTGCACTATCAATTATTATAGTTGTATCATTTTTAAGAATTTAGGGGGAAAACATTATCTAGTAACTAAATAAAAAATATAACTTAACATTTTTAACCACCGATCGACTAAAAAAAAAAATAACTATAATGGCTTTCCTTAAATGTAATTATATACAATTCGCAATAAAATTTCGTTTCATTTCATCTCACAACTAAAAATGAGTATGAAAGTATGAAATTTGGTTAGTAAAGATCAGACAAGACGAGAATAGATCAGATCAAACCTAGATATTTCACTTAATGGTCTAATACGAATCATTTCCATCGAATCTCGTGACTCCAAGGAAGCTCTCGTCATCGAGAAATTCGGTGGACGTGATGCGCAGCACCTCCTCGCAGACTTTCTTGTAGCACCAGGCGTCGCCCTTGAGCCGTTTCCTGCGCACCAGGACACGACTGTCGCCTCCGCCAAGAGCGGCAGTGTCCAGCAGGCATACCTCCAGCTCGAACGAGCAGTAACAATTCGAATCCTTCGAATTTGGCACCTCGTTCGAGGAATTACTATTACTGTTGTGTATAAATGGTTTTTGTTCGTCATTGGCAGTTGTGATAGGTGTTTTTACCAGGTTAGATAATGATGGTTTTGGTTCTTTGCATAATTCCATGCGCCCGCGCAGGGTGTACCTGAAATTGATTAGTTGAAGAGGATACGAAGATTTATAGAGAGAAGAATCAATGTTGCATCATGGTGAATAAGTGGCTAAGTCAAATTTCGGCCAAAGTGGCGGAATTCACTATTTTACTACGATTAAAGTAATTGATTTGTCCAATAATGGAGAAAAAATGAAAATATTTTTAGGCACTTTACAAACTTAAAAACAGATGCCCTGAAAAGTATTTAAAATTGACTTGACCACTTGTTCAAGAGGATGAAATAGAAATAACCCATGGACTTTAAGGTAAAGCTTAGAAGCTTATAGATCTAGAAACAAATTACAAGTACTAGATAGAATAAGGTTTTATAGAAGCATATATAGTAAGATATAGCAAAGCATGCATTCAATATATGCACAATTCGTTTTGAATAAATGGCAACAAGAAATAACTAGGTAAGACCTAAAATTTTCAAATACTGAATACAATACCAGACAAACTAATCAAAAGTCTAATAATCCCAAACCTATGTGGTTCCTTCAATACTAATTGCACGCTATTGTAATATAATTTATGAATAAACTACCTCGATTATAAAAAAAATTATAATGTGTTGATAAATTGAAAATTTTAACATTTTACAGTCACCAGGAATTTTTAGACTTTACTATTTTAAATTGTTGAGCTGACTAATTAAAGAAGCGATTCTTTTTAATTGCAGTACCATCAACCCTACAATAACGCGGTAAGTGTAATATAGAAATCGCGCAACAAGAGGTTTTTCTCGTGAGCTGAAATAATAACGGCACATGTTCTTCAGAGTGTTGATGCACTTCATGAATGGATTCTACGTCCGTAATCGTTTTTCTTTCATCACCAATATTGAACGCGTGAAAGTTACAGGAAACCATATCATACAAATAATAATATGTGTGGTTTAAATCTTCTTCTTTTCGAATTTGCTTTTTGCTCGAATCTCATACCCGTACCGATGGTACAGACTGTCATTCAAATGCAATAACTTTGCCTGCCCCGAACACTTTTGCAAACAATGTAAATCTGTAAATTATGCAATCTACCTAACCTAATCCATTCATTTATGGGAGACTCATTTACTAGAAGTCATTATCGGAGAGTTGACTGTACTATTTATTTATTAGTGATACAACGCAATATATATTTGATGAATCTTATAAACCGGGAATTTTCTAATAAATTCAACAGCAAAACAATTATTAATACAAGCTTTGAAAAATATTTCGACTAAACTTAGGTTATATATCAAATTATCACCTTTGCGAAGTGCATACAAAGTTCTGATTGATTGAATTTTCCACATTCCAATGCTTTCTCATTTTATAAAACTACAATATCAACAAAATTAAGGTCATTTTATAATAAAATAAAAACATGAATCCTAACCACAAATATTCATTCAAGTCGTTTGATACGAATACATGGGCAGGATGTAAAACAGTAAAGCACAAAATGTGGTTCAATGATAATAACTGAATCAATAATTTTAAATTTTATAATAATAATATAATGCATTATTAATTTAATTTTAATGTTAGTGCAATAACACTACAAAAAAATAATATAACATTATTCAAAAGCTGGATATTTTCTAAAAAATAAATTTCTCAATTATAAAATGCATTTTTCTGCTGGTAACATTAACTTTCATCAAAAACAATTCGAAACTTTTTGATATGGCTTCGTCCTCAAATTACAACACTAGACACAAACCTATTAAGGCGCGTACATATAAATTAGCCAGCTCTTTCAATACGATCGACGGTCTAGGTATTCAGCTTATGAATAAACTTCCACTCAATATCCGAAACTTAGACAGCAAAAAATTTCATGCTTCCCTAGTTAAACTTTTTAAAGACATAGCTTTTTATGACATTACTGAATTTTCTCAATTTGAATTCAATAACTATTTTCTTGCCTAATCCTTATCCTGTATCTATGTAGTCTGACCATTTGATCGCCTGTACAACCATTATTTTTTTTCATTTTTTTTATTGCTATTTTATTAATTTAAATTTTTCACGGTTTTAAATGAGTATAACTTTCAACCTTGTGCAAGAATTTTGAGCTTGACTGGTGGTCAAATAGACTTTAATATGATGAACTTGATGATGAACATTGTATTTAATGTTCGAATGCTTTTTTTCAGCTCTTTTTTTTTCAGAAGCGAAATTCGTGCAGCTACTATGATTATTATAAAATTACTATCCTTTTAATATTAACTATGAATAAGCTTGACAAGAGCCTGAAATAATATCTATTATTATTGATTACGGCTTGCTTATGAATAAATAAATAAATAAATAAATAAAATATACAAAAAATTGATTGAACCTATCTCATTCTCAGATTATGTAAAATCTCAAGATAAAGACTGCGGCTAATACCACTTTTACATATTGTTTCCAATATTACATGAACAGCCCGAATATCATTAATTTTGACCACGCCTGATACACAATTGTTTGTTACTTATCTTCCAGGGAATAAAGTTGAACATTGCTTCACGTAGTTTATTCCGTAGCACATCTTCAGATGGAAATTTCATTCACAAAATGTGAGTAAAATTTACGTGATTTTTACAATTGTTAGTATTACATTTTCGTATCCGGTAAGAAAGAATCTAAATTCAATTATTATAGAATGATCTGTACCGGAGATTCCCAATAAAAATGTGAGTGAGACATTATTTGTTAAAAAATTTCATTTTAAAAGCTATGACGATTTAAATAGATACATAGAAATTCTTGTATTTAGCGAACATTAAACAATGAAAGAATCAAATAATTATTTAAATATACTTCTTATGACCAGACGATAGCACCCTTTTAAAATAACTATTCAACTAATCTACCGTATAAAAGTTGAAATTTTATTAAATTATTTGGATAAATTATTCAAAATGCTAATCTATTCATTAAAATTACAAAATAATCATTTCCATAATTTTCAAAATATTTTTAATAAATTCTCCCCATTAAAAAGTAATTTAATAAAATTTCAATTTCCTCCCGAATATACTCTTATTTAATATGATACGATATTAAAATTCTACAAAGCGCATAGTGAAAATATGAAATATTAAATTTTATTACTTACCCTTTCTGCTTACAAAATATGCCCTTTTCGTATAAGGCAGTTCGCAATTTAAGAAGAACAAGTGCAGGATCAACCGCTGTCGTTGTCGAAACATTTGATAAATTCTGAAATAACAATGAAACGTTAATATGGAAACTAAAAATTAATATAAATCACGCCATTTGCACCGCGTTATATGGAAACCAATAAATACAATAGATATGATGAATTATAAATTGTTTTCATTGAATTGAAGAATTCATATAGTGTTATATAACAATTCAACGCTTATGTGTGAAACGGCTGATTGCACAGCAAATACATAGCTTTTTGACAGTTTGTTACTACCGTAACTCATACGAATATAGACCCGTAGCATATATCATAACCATATGTTATGACAATAATTCATTATCCTAACCTTAGCGTTGAGCACTTGCGGCATGATTTTGACAGCCTCCGCCGAATTGGGTGTCCAGGGATTGGTCCTGGCCGTCTTCGGCGTGCCTCCCAGGTGAGATCGCCTGGGCATAAGGGCGCGCCTGACGCGGTGCATCGACCGCTCGATCGAGCCGAGCATTCGCCGGGCGGGCGAACTGCGCGGCGTGCTTTTGCCGTGCTGCAAGTTGAAGTTCGTCGGCAAGCGACAGGTATTAGGATCGGGCGAACAGGCCAACGAGGGAGGACGACGGTTCTCCTGAGTCGGCCCATTTATGCTGAAAAAGATAATAATAGTAATGACTAATGAGTAGGGAATGCAATACCGATGAAAAATTTCAATACCGGTATTTCGGTATTTTTTTATTTTAAAACCGGAATACCGGTAAAATACCGGTATTTTTATTATCTTAAACAAATGTAAACAATATTGAAAGTTACTAGTACAAATATATATATATATATATATATATATATATATATATATATATACGACTACAACTATATTCAAGTAAAAAATAAAAAAAAAACATAAGTTTTTTTTAATAATAATTTAACAAAATTATATCCAATTTTAATTAACTCATCATCATTATCGAGTATATTGAGTACTTTTTACCAAAATTAAACGTATGAGTAAGAAAGACCAAAAACTCATAAAAGATCATATTACATTATTATAATAAACTGTATTGTCTGTATCCGATGTGTTAAATTAGCATAATTTCCAATATTTTAGAGGCTTTAAAAAAGTATTTTTCCTACTAATTTAAGATCCGATACTTTATGAAGATAAATAATAACATACTATAATTGTAGAGTATTTTTATTTAAAACAATATAATAGCCATATATTTTCAAACTGCGATACGTTTTAAGTAAAATAATATTTTATAATTGTAATGATAATATAAAAAAAAAACAATTAAAAAAATAAATATCTATCAGTCCGATTCTATTTATTGTAACACGATATGAGGCCCTTTGGAAAGCAATAAATATTCAGTTTAATGACTAGTTGAGATAATATTATGACATTTGTTTATCCTATAGAATCGCTTAAAGATATAGCTGTTATGCAATTATGGAATTTAAATATTGTTCCGAGAAATTTAAGTTTGAGTGTAATATGTATCAAAAAGCGCTTGTGCAAAAATACCGAAAATACCGGTATTTTTAGGGTAAATACCGGTATTAATACCGCCAAAAAATCGGGCGATTTACCAGTATTGCATTCCCTAGTAATGAGTTATTCAATACGATAACACTGATCGCGAGATCGATGTATAAAAGTAAATTAATATTCAGAAAGTAAAAAAATTGCGAGATCAACCCGAAATCGTTCAGGGTAAAGGATAATAAATGTTCGTACATGTAAATTCCTGCACATTATTGGAAGTATTGAAGATTATTGTAGTTTAGCAAGAAGAATGTGACATATAGAATTGGGTAAGAATATTTAAGCGGTAGTTTTATTCACTTTTTATGGCGATGCTATAATCAATTAAATTACACTAGTTAAACCACGCAATTTCCACCATGAGTCTATGAAATGAATTAAAAATAATCATTTTAGAACATTGAATGAACCTCACATTAATTTAAAAAAAAATCTAAAATTTTTCAAAAAAAAGTCAAAAATTTTTTCTTTTTAAATTTTTTTCTAGTTACTAAAATACACGTGATGTTGTGTGAGGTTAATTTTAAATATCACCACGTATCACCAAGGGGGAAGGGGGAGTCCAAAAAACCTTAGATATCGCTCACGTGATTAATGGACGCCCTTTTACAGGAATGTGTTCCAATCTGATAAACTAAAATAACATGTTATAGTTGGCAAAACATTTCTTTTAAATAATTTATAAAACGCAATTATGAACTTTTAGTAAGTAAGAATTAGAGCATTGGTCAACCTATAACCATTTTTGATCAATTTCTATTATTTTGCTTCATTTAAACTTTGAAACCGCTAAATAACATTTCTAGAACCACATACAAAAATAATGACTATAAATATAAATATAAATTGCCCTAAGTATATTTATTAAACTATGATTTAATAAATATACTTAGGTTATAATAAAAACTATTTTAATTTATCGACTTTGAAAGGCCTTCTGGTCAAAAAAAAATGCTCTGATGTGTTTTGGCTTGTTTCGCAGGATTGTAAAATGGTACAATACTTGTTTATTTCATACTAAAAAACGAATTTTAGGCAACTTTCAAACGTATATCAAAAAGCGATTAAGTTATCAAACCATAAATATATAGATCCTTTCAAAACCTTTCAAAAAATTGTATGATTTAAACTAAACTCAAATAAATGAAATAGTAATATGTGCTAGTCACATTATAATGACCATCTTAAATTCAATTACAAAAAAGATCCATACTGTTTGAAAATTTATGTTTTTTTTAAATTTATTTAATTATAAAAA